ACGATACAAGGCTAGACTAGTGGTTAAAGGCTACAGTCAGAAAAAGGGTATTGACTATGAGGAAATATTTTCTCCAGTTGTGAGGATGTCTTCGATTCGAGTTGTTTTGGGTCTTGCAGCCAGCCTTGACTTGGAAGTTGAACAGATGGATGTCAAAACAGCATTCCTTCATGGTGATTTGGGGAAGGAAATTTATATGGAGCAACCAGAAGGCTTTGTGGTGAAGGGCAAGGAGAACTATGTTTGCAAGTTGAAGAAGAGCTTGTATGGCTTGAAACAAGCTCCAAGGCAATGGTACAAGAAGTTTGAGTCTGTGATGATCCAACAAAGATATAAGAAGACTACTTCTGATTATTGTGCTTTTGTGCAGAAGTTCTCTGATAATGACTTCATTATTTTGTTGCTTTATGTTGATGATATGCTTATTGTTGGTCATAACTCTTTGAGAATTGCAGAGTTGAAAACAGAGCTTAGTAAGTCCTTTGCGATGAAGGACTTGGGACCAGCAAAACAGATTCTTGGCATGCAGATTACACGTGACAGAGAGGCAAGAAAGCTATGGTTGTCTCAGGAGAAGTATATTGAAAAGGTGCTTCAACGATTTCATATGGAAAAAGCTAAAGTGGTTAGCACACCTCTGGCTACACACTTTAAGCTTAGCTCTAGACAGTCCCCATCCAATGATGCTGAGAGGGCAGAGATGCGATGTATTCCTTATGCATCTGCCGTAGGAAGTTTGATGTATGCAATGGTTTGCACAAGGCCTGATCTAGCACATGCAGTTGGTACAGTTAGCCGCTTCCTTTCTAATCCTGGCAAGGAGCATTGGAATGCAGTGAAGTGGATTATGAGATATCTCCGAGGCACATCCAGTTTGAAACTTTGTTATGGAACTGGAAAACCTGTTTTGAATGTTTACACAGATTCTGATATGGCTGGAGATATTGATACCAGGAAGTCTACATCTGGTTATTTGGTTACCTTTGCAGGGGGAGCTGTTTCATGGCAATCTAAGCTTCAGAAATGTGTTGCGTTGTCCACAACAGAGGCCGAGTTCATTGCAGCTACAGAAGCTTGTAAAGAGCTGCTTTGGATGAAGAAATATCTTCGTGAACTTGGTGTTATTCAGAAGAGGTATGTCTTATATTGTGACAGTCAGAGTGCTATACATCTTAGAAAAAATCCTACTTTCCATGGCAAATCTAAACATATTGATGTACGTTATCATTGGATTCAAGATGTGCTTGATCTCAAGTTATTGGAGTTTGAAAAGATTCACACAGATGATAATGGTTCTGATATGATGACTAAGGCTTTGCCAAAGGGGAAGTTTGAAACTTGTTGTTTGATTGCCGGTTTGGCAACCACCTCCACATAGTCGGGAGGGGGGAGATTTGTTGGGTTTGGGCTCCCAACTATGTGTCACCTTTAATTAAAAGGCCCAAATATTTTTGGAGGATAAGTCCTCAATACATTTTTGTCCACATATTTTGAGAGAAAAGTTTGGCAGCTGTCCAGTACACACCACGCAAGGGAGAAAAACAGCCGCAAGAAAAGGGTGAAAAACAGCAGATAGCCGCTGCCATTTTTCTACAGAACGCAGGTCTGGTTTTTTGGTCGATCGGAGGTCCAAATCTTGTCCGATCGAGCTGAAATTTTAGGAGGAGTCTAAGGACTTGTGGAGCTTCAATCTGAACGGTGGAGATCGAATTTCAACGGTTCAATCTCAAGTTATAAGCTTCGCACCAGCTGCAGTTTTTTGGTGATTTCTTGCACTATTGTTCATCTATTTTGATTCTAGTGCCTTCGTAGTGTTGTTAAGGGCTAGATATCATTGTGGTGCTGTTATATTGTGCATTTGTACTCTCAATTTGGTGGTAGTGGAGTTGGTTGGACCGAAGGGTCTCGTGGTTTTTTTACTCTTTCACATTGAAAGGGTTTTCCATGTTAAAATCTCGTGCCTCATATTGCTTTATTTTTCGTGTTTGGATTATCTTGTTGCTTGGTGTTCTTTGGTGTGTTTGTTTGCTGCTCCTCACAGATTCATTCAAGAGGGAAAGGTGTTGATCTTGGGCACTACACAATCATTTATGTTCTTGCTTTCCCAACAAGCGTCCCGCGGGAGTCATCGGCGGTGCGCATCGGGGTTCGGCTGCTGGATTTTGCCGGTGTTGGTCGCCACGACAACGGACTGCTTGCCGGAACGAGGGAGTGAACGGAGCAGCAACAGATCTGGAGCTATCACCCATTGACTGGAGCTGTCGTTGCTCGCTGCGCAGAGGCAGGATGCCGCGTAGCTCTTGGTCGTCACGTCCGGTACGGTCATCGCCGGTGGATCGTTGCCGGCTAGAGCAAGAGGCGGCTGCCTGTCGGCGGTCATCAATTGGTTCCTGGGACAACGAATCTGCGCTAGATCTACGGCGAGGCTCTCCCGTCGTGCTTTGAAGCTGGCTGTGGTCTCCGTGTGCCAATGGCAGAGCTGGTCGGTGATGGGTGGGGAATCCAAGACCAGTGACCGAATCCAAGAATTGGAAGCACCATTTTGTTGTTTTTTTTTGTTTTGGAGCATGTTTTATATGTCTCACACTCTCAATGAAAACAAGGATTATGGAATTCATTGGTTCAAAAGGTGGAATCACCCACCCAGGCGCCCCCAATTATGGAATTCATGGGTGGAGAAGAGGAAGAGAAGTGTGAAGAAGAGAACAAGGATGATGAAGATCATGTATTGTGTGGTGTGCATCGTATTAGAGCACGGGTAATGGCAAGTAGAAAATGGAATGCCACACGGTGACGTGGAATATTTTAACCAATCAAAACCAGTCCAGTCAGCGTGTGGCAAGTGAATGGAGTAGTATGCTGTACAATGGCAAGTAATTGTTTTTGTCCATTTTTACACTTTTTAAACATATTTTAATTATTAAAAATTATTTTACTTATGTTTTTTTACAAAAATAGATGTACTCCTATTTAAAAAAAAACTTCTTTTTTTTTCAAAAAAAATTAAAAATAAAAAAAATAAAATAAAATGAAATCTGACTCGCTGAAGCCTCAAGAACCGTGGAAAAAGTGGAATCCCACGCGAGGCAAAGCTCATGGTTATCCTACATGTCATGTACATGTCATAGCATGGCAAGCGGATGGAGCGCCGCTGCACATGCTCTTAGCCTCCTATTCTCTCCCCCCTCTTTCTAGAGAGGAATATAAATAATGGGAGTTAGGGTTAGAATTTGGTCCTCATACAAACTAATGGGTCAGCCCAACAGACTGGGCTATTCCTAAAATAAGTAATTACCCAGAGCACTATTCCAACTTCACGGAAATTTATATTTATTTTTGTTTTTTCATGGCCTATATGATAAAATAAAATATTCTTGTCACCACTTGTTTTATTGAACTTTTGATGTAGTTTTTAAATATGTATGTTTTATTTTTTATTTCCATACCAATATTTAAATAAAATAAATTGAAAAAATTTGGGATTTTGCTTCGTTTTGCGCAACGGAAAGAAAGATATAGGACGGAGGGAGTACATGGCAAACGAGCTTGTCAACTAGACTGGACCGCCCCAGCTAATAGTATACAAAGATCGGATACCCTCTGTCCAGGGTATCCATCAATTTTACTAACACCCGATTCATTTATTGTTTTTAATAACTCTTAAATTAATTGTTAACAAATTTCTCTCCACTTATATGTTATCAAATCAATTTCTTCGCTAGTTGCCCGAGCTTACTGCCTGCCTGCCTAGGTTTTTTCAGATAATTTCAACCGAGTATCACGGATGCCCACCTTTTACCCCAAAACAATCGACTCTACTTAATTTTATCCATAACCTTTTTGAACTCTTAGAATTTTACTAACACATAATTTATTCATTGTTTTTAGTAACTCTTAAATCAATTGAATACGCATTTCTCCCTATTTATATATTATCAATTCAATTTCTTCGCTAGCTGGCATGAGCTTACTACTTGCCTATCTAGGTTTTTAAGACAATTTCAACCCGAGTACTACGGATGTCTCCCCTTGGCCCAAAACAGTCGACTCTACTTAATTTTATCCATAACCATTTTGAACTCTTAGAATTTTACTAACACTTAATTTATTCATTGTTTTTAGTAACTCTTAAATCAATTGAATACACATTTCTCCCCATTTATATATTATCAATTCAATTTCTTCGCTAGCTGGCATGAGCTTACTACTTGCTTGTCTAGGTTTTTAAGACAATTTCAACCCAAGTACTACGGATGTCCCCCCTTGGCCCAAAATAGTCGATCCTACATAATTTTATCCGTAACCATTTTGAACTCTTAAAATTTTACTAACACTCAATTTATTCATTGTTTTTAGAAACTCTTAAATTGATTGATTACAAATTTCTCTCCACTTATATGTTATCAAATCATTCTCTACACTAGCTGGCCTAAGCTTACTATGTGCTTGTATAGGTTTTTTCAGACAATTTCAACTCGAATATTACGGATGCCCACCCTTTCCCCAAAACAGTCGACTCTAATTCATTTTATCCGTAACCATTTTGAACTCTTAGAATTTTACTAACACTCAATTTATTTATTGCTTTTAGAAAATCTTAAATTAATTGATTAGAGATTTTTCTCCACTTATATGTTATCAAATCATTTTCTTCACTAGCTAACCCGAGCTTACTGCATGCTTGTCTAGGTTTTTTCAGACAATTTCAACCTGAGTACTACGGATGCCCACCCTTTACCCCAAAATAGTCGACTCTACTTTATTTTATCTGTAAGCAATTTGAACTCTTAGAATTTTACTAACTAATGGAGATGGAAGATGTACCTCTACATATTGGAAGTTGAAAAAGAAAAGTTTTCATAATGTGCTCAGCTCACATCTATGAGAAATGTGCATAACATTAAGAAATAGTCGGTATGACTCTCCAATTTTGCAATTTAGTGGAGTATTGATTTAGTTCATGCCATGAATGCGCTCCATGAGTGGATACTCAGTAGTGATTTTTTGGGTAGTAGGGGTGAGCAAGTTCCGAGGTGAAATTCAAATTTCGCAAAAAAACTGAGATTAATAAATCAAAAAATGACGAGCCGATAAAATACCAAAAAAAATTGTACCATACCGAGCAGAATAGTCGGCCCGGTATTTGGGATTGGTACGAGGTAACTTCCCATACCGAAAAATCACAAAACGAACATATACAAATAATCTTTTACAAATACTGTATCATACCATATCAAGCTCACCCCTATTGGGTAGTAAATAGATCAGTGCATCGGTGGTCAAATAGAAACAGCCTTTAGCTCCTTTTCATTCATTCTTGTTTCATTTAGCCCCATTCATTTTAACATGTATTTGATATGAAGTTTTTCCTTGATCACAACTGGTAGTTTCACTTCATCACTGCCAAGGTTATGGGCCGGGCTCCTCTTTTTCCTCTTCCTAAAGCTATGTTTAAGGTGGTACTACTTCTATTTTGTCCTTATATGTCTCCCTCTTCAGCAGCAGCACTGAACCTAGTGAGGGGTGGAGGGCGGGGGGGTTAGGGGGTGGGTTGGGTAGGGGTAGAAACCGTCAATTTTGCAAACGGAGGACCGGAGGTGCCCCAAAATGCCAGTGGCACCGTATTCCGGTGTCACTAGAACCCCACTGTACTTATAAATAAAACTAAAACACAACTTAGTAGAACTAAGGAAGTCCGTGTGTGTGTGTGTGTAACCAAACCGAACCAAAAACCAATTTTTCCAGTTTAATTACTGGTTCAGTGTTTCGGTTCCCCTTTTTCTCATACACTCCTGAGATCTCTGATAAGGCGCCTCTCTTCTCTCCCTCCGGAGACGTGCAGCCTCCTGGTTTCTCACAAACACCTCATGGTATTTAGGATCATACGGTACAGCCTGACCATTGATGAATGGCTCGCCTGCAACAAAATGATTGGTAAGAGATTTGATTTTTGAGGGGGTTTTGATCTATAAAGTGACAAAGCTGAGAGCAACAAATTAAAACATGCTCTTTGAATCCATACATACAGATGATATTACTTTCTAAGTAAAACTCAAGAGCAAATAATTTCAAGGTATAAAGACACTTGGGTGAAAAGGGATAAACTGATCAATTTGTTAGACTCAATTCAAATGGAGAATGATTGCTAAGCTTAGAATTACAATAACAACAAATCATGTAACTTCATACCCCCATAGTTCTTGTTTATGATATCCATGTAAGAATCTGGAAGCACAAGCTTAACCCCTTCCAAATCTGGGAAAAAAAATATTGGCAAAAAATTTAATATTAAATCCTTCGAGTTTAAATGTTAAATCCCAAAACAGACTAAGTAGCATTAAAAAAAACTACCATATAAGTCTTCAGCAAGTTCCTTTGACACGAGAGCCCCGAATGCATAATAGTGTCTAGTTGAGACAGAGTATATCCTCATCCTTGCCTCTTCCTCACTAAAAGAATAAATCAACAAATTTAACCTCCTCAAAAAAAAAAGAAGTCATTTAACTTAGATTCTTGCAATTAAAGATGTTTCTTTCATTTTGGGTACAAGTTTAATCACTTGTCTATTATTATCGCCCATCCCATAAATGAATCAAGTTCATACAAAGTCATTGTACCATCCAAGCAAAGATACAATCATCCAGTACAAAAGAAATATGACGCCCCATTAAGAGACAATCAAGCTTACGGAAATCAATAAACAGATAAATTAGGCACAACACAAGAACAAAATCTTAAATAGCTCTTAAACTTTTTCAATGCAAGGTCAAGAGTAGGTTATAGATCGAAGAACAAGCTAGTGTTAGAATTTAGAACAAATAAGCAAACTAAGATTCATTAACAAAGCATATGATTGGATCTATTCAAACAGGAGGAACTGATATTAAGGGTTTCATTTCTGTTTGGAACACACTGAAACACAGGAGATAAACAAAAGGAATAAAGCAAAATTGGAGAGGTCTTACCTTCCAACCACCTGGGCTAGGGTTTTAATATAGCCTTCAATTATCTCGTCTCTCGAAGGAGAGTCTGCAGGCTTCTCCTTCACAACAAGCCAGTGCTCATAATCACACCCATCTAAACGCGTCTGATAAGACGCACGGTTCGACCGGTTAGGACTCGGATTGTTAATGAACGACGAGATCTGTCGAGTCTCGAGCCCTGCGACCGAACCGGACACTGCAGGGTAATGACGGGGGACGCTGGCGAAGATTGCCCTATAGTTTTGCAATACACAGTCAACATTCCAAGAAAGGTGAACATTGATCCTTCAATAGCGTGTATTAATTAGCTTCTACTCTTCTTCAGAGCAGATCATTTTGAGTTGTGCACAAAAGGGAGGCATGTCCAAAATTTTAGTTCTAATCATGACTGTCCCACCACTCATAATGTAAAAGTAAACCATGTGAGAGTGTCTGAATAAAGAAGAAACAAGAGGATGCAAAACAGGAAAAACTTACAAAGCCTGAAACTCCCAAGTGAAACAGCGAACCAAGCCCTCGACCCTGTACACTTGGGTAGAAACCTTTTCTGCAAAAACTCGCCTCCCCCTCACATTGAGAGTGAATCTGGTGCAATGGACTTTGGGACCACCACCTGCCCATAAAAGGCAGAAACGGTCTTCTCCCAAATGAAGGAACAATGAAGGAATATTAAACATGTACGTATCAGGACTATGAAGGAGAGGAAGTGCATTATCATACTCTTCAAATCCCTTCACGGAGCGGCACCATTTGCCCTTCTCAATGTCGAAACATGCCACTTCGGTATGGTTATCTTCGAAAGGGCTATATCTTGCATACAAGAGGTACATTAACCCATTATGGAAAACACCACTCTTGGACAAACCAAACTCATCAAACTCATTGTAATGCACATCAATCTCATTTCTCTTGAAATCGTAGAAGATCGTGCGATCACATGTAACGATGATGGCACGCTGAGCACAGCGCATGGGTTGACTAGTAGTAGAATCAGTTACAACTTCATATTCAATTGTGTGTGCAAACACACATGAGCTCGTAGGGGATTTATCATAATCATCCAATTCTAGCAAGCACGTCCATCCCTTCTCCAACTTATGGGAGTCAAGATAGTGCAAAGTAAATAAATTATCCCAATACATTCCCAGTGCATAAATCTTGCCATCCACAGCGAAGATATAGCACGTATTAGGTGCTTTCTCAAGAGTAGGGCCATCTTCCCAATTTTTCTCTTCGCTTTGAGTATTTAAATAATGGACACGCCTGATCGGTACATCACAACAAGTATATTCTACACCACTTATGAGGAAAATATGAGATCCCACCCCAACAGGTTCATATGTTATCCCATGCTTTCCCCAGGGTGGCTCGTGAAAGGCCGGGGAGAGAGGGGCATTTGTGTCCACATTTACCCCTCGCGGTGGAATAGCAAACCATTTACATGCTTTGGTAAGTGGATCTGTTCCAGTACTATTCCAGACACACAGACGAAAGTAGATCGTGGGTTGTTCTCCAGTTTCAGCTTCTTCCATTTCACAATTCCGTTCTTCTGTTACTCCATTGTTCAACCCTAACATTACAGCTGAATCTGGAGAACTTCACAGTTGCAGCCTCGCATGGATTTTATGGAGGAAAATCACCCCACAGCTGAATCTGGAGAACTTCACAGAGAGAAAGGCTAGTGGAGGTTGGTTCCAGAACATGCGAGATTGATCTTTCTCGCATACGAAGGAAAAGATGACCCACTTGGGTGGTACAACCAGGGAGAGATCATCCAGGGAATGGGAATCTGTATAGGAGTAGAAATTCAGAAAGGGAAAGAAACATTTAACATCAATCTATTAGCCATTACGCTAGATGGGTTTGATGTAGTATTGGGAGTGGGTAGGCTCCGAGCCTTAGGCTCAATAGTATGGGACTTCACTTCCCTCACTATGTGTTTCAAGATGAAAGGTAAATGGGTACATTTGAAGGGGTTGAGGCAAGAGCAGCACACCTCCATTAATGCCATTATCAACCGACACTGAGTCAAATCTCAATCGGCATGATTCTGGCAGAATATGGAAATTTGTTTCAAGAGCCAAAAACACTACCCCCATCGAGAAACTGTGACTACATCACTTTGGGAGAGGGAACTAACCCGATTGTGGCTAGACCCTACAAGTACCCTCGACTTTGAATAAATGAAAGTGAGAAACAATGTGATGACATGCTCAAACAGGGGATCATCCAACAAAGTAAGGATAACATACTCGTATTCGAAAATGATGATTCATAACCACAAAACAGTCTACAAGAGCAAATTCAAAAGGAGGTAATCAAACACGAGGAGTGCAAAGAATTGAAACAAGAAATTCTGGACCGAAAAACGAGGGAGGGGTGGGGGACCAGTAGAACCTTAGTGATGGGTTGATACGGATCAAGAACAAAATTTGCATTCCATCAAACTAGCCACTTGCCATGGTAATTATATCTCATGTCCACAATGGCACACGTTAAGGGGTATAAAGACACTTCTTTAGGGTAACTCGACAGTTCTATTGGATGGGTACGAAAGGTCCAAGAGTTCATCCGAAACTGCTCCATATGCAAGAAAAATGAATGGGAAAATCTCCATCTGGCACCACTTTTACAGCCTCTTCCAGTGCCACAGCAAATTTGGTCCAATATATCAATGGATTTTGTGGAAGGCTTCCCAAAGGTATTGGATAAGTCAGTGCTCATGGTTGTAGTAATTTGACTGCCTAAATATGCCCATTTCATACCCTTGTTCCATCCTTATACGGCATCATCAGTGGCCCATGCCTACTTCACTCGCATGTTAAAATTGCATGTCATGCCAGAGACCATAGTGAGGGATCGAGACACTTTGTTCATGACTGGCGACGGTTTTGTCTCTGGCCATGGTGGCGACGGCGGCTCCAATGATATTAGGAAGGTAGGGGAAACAGAGTGTGTGTGTGTGTGTGTGATTTTGGAAGTAGAGAAGGCCTTTCATATTAAAAAGACTAGTTAAGTGAAGTTCCTAGTCCATAGAGATTCGAACTAAGATAAACTCATATGTTATCTTTAATTCAGTAAGAAACTGAACCATTAACCATTGATACAATCTACTACGCTATTTCCCATTTGAAGAGTCACCTTGGTGCCACTGGGCCACAAGGTCTCTGGCCCAAAAAGAAATGATATTTATAAAGAAGTGTAAAATGTAGATCACACCATAGTTGTTTATGGCGCAATGGGCACCGATGCACAAAAGGACCCTGGCACAGCTATGTGTACATCACAAACCCTAAATGACTAGCATGCAGAAAACCTCCAAGCAGCATAAATGTATGAGAGTTGAAGAAAAGAGAACATGCAGAAAGCCAAAGCAGGGAAGTCAGAGAAGACTGTGTTAGAATGGCTCAAAGCAGAGAGAGGTGGAAGTCAGTAGACCCTAATAAAAAAAATTTAAAAGACAGGTTCGCTGCAGTGATTTGATGAGATCTCACTGAAAATAAGACACTGCAAATCGTAAAGAATGATGCAAAACCCTAAAAATAGCAGTGATAGAATGCAGGGGAAGGAAATAGGTGAGAAATTAGACAGAAAAAGGAGAAAGGAATTTAGATAAAATATTTCTTACTCATCTCATAGCACCTTCTAGCATTATACCAGTACAATCCACATAAGGACATTACTCATTAGCTGGCTAAATATTATAATAGAGTAATCATCTAAATATTGTATTCATCTCATATGCAGAATACAATAAAGCCTGTTCTTTAAAGTTGAAAAGAAAAAGAGTTAGATGTTAGAAGAAAGTGAAAGGAAACTCGAAGAAACTGCAAAATTGGGGCAAAAAATGAAAGGAACGTGAAAAACCGGAAGAAACTAGAAAAAATTGGACCGCATCGTAGAGCCTGACAAACAATCCCTTGCGCATCAGACAGGCTTTTCACAACCATGCATCAAACCAAAAAAATCAAAGGGAGCATACATACTTATTATTTAGAAGGTTCAACCTATATGGGAAGCAGTTGTATTACTACAATAACAATGCATCATACACAAAGACGGCTCCGCTGAGCTTTTAAAGGATTGACAAATTAGTTTAAGATAGAAAGGCAAGGTATGAATTACTCCTGCAAAATGTTGTCTACCTATTAAATCCTAGCAGCCATACCTGTAATAAGTGATGGTGTCCCAGACACCCCCAGAGCTGGTGGAGGAGGAACCTGTTGTTGCATATGCATATTCTGGGATAAAGCTAGTAATTGGTTAAGATCATCTTGGATGGATTCAATTTTTCTTTGTTGATCTTGAATCTCTGACAATTGCAATTGGCTTAAGGTATGTTTGATGTTGTGAATCCTGTCTTCGAAATGCCTCTGGGCCAAAGTATTCAGAGGCCTGTATTGAAATTAAAATTAGACCTTGAAATCAAGAATAACAAGGTGCATGCAAAAAGGCATTTCATTATTCAAAACATTATTAAACCATGACTGTTTTCGAATCAATATAGTACCAAAAAATATCATTTAGTATCGAAATCTAGCTTTTAGTTAAAATTGACAAGTTATAATTCCAAGTTCTAGAGAAGAAAGGGGAATATTTTGAAGAGCTGGAGAGAGGGAACGAGCTCTAAGAAGTTTGGTTTTTATTTCACTATGGAATATACAAGTAATTACTCTGTAACTATTAATAAATAAATGGAAAATCCAATGTTGTCAACCAAGGTCAAATGGTCAAAACTAATATCTGGAAGGGCTATATCTTACAAGTCACAAAAGATAAGGGATCACCCCAGGCATTCAAATTAATTGAGGGACTGAGTTAGCAGTTCATTTATAATCCAGGGACCAAACTCACTTCCTTTTTTTCATGAGTCAATATGGAGAGAATTCGTGAAGAATAATAAGGTAGGTAGACCTACTGTCTATGATTATATGCAGTACTAGTAAGCTAGTACGGAGTATTTTTTTCTTCTCATACACAAATCACTTGTTTGGTGTAACCCGGATCCTACAATGAGTGTAGATAGTACGTAGTAACATTTAGGAAAACGAAAAAAATTACTTGATTGTAAGCTCACCTAGAAATAAAGCAAAAGCTCACCACTTTGAACTCCAAAATTTACTTTTTTAAAAAATTTTGAAAATCAAAAAATTAATAAAAAATAAAGTAGCAACACCGGTCAATCACCGGTCAGCGGCGTCAGGCAGCGGAACAGCGGCGGCCAGCGAAGACCGGTGGCAGAGCAGCGGCGATTTCCGGTGACTGGCGGCGGCTAGAGGTGGTCAATGGTCACGGTCAAAATCTAGTCAGCACACCTTCTTTTAATTTTATTTTTTTGTAAAAAAATTCAAAGTACTGAAAAGATATGGTTAGGTGAGCTTTGTAATTGTCTTTCGTGAGCTTTGCAGTGACCATTGATGAGTTAGTTGAGATTTGCCTCATCTGATCATATCATGTGATTTCAATGTAATCTCATATATATATATATATATATATATATATATATATATATATATATATATATATATATTGTTTATTTCTGTTTAGAACACACTAAAACACCGAGAGGTCTTACCTTCCAACCACCTGGGCTAAGGTTTTAACATAGCAATCAATTATCTTGTCTCTCGGATTGTTAATGAACGACGAGATCTGTCGAGTCTCGAGCCCAGCAACCGAACCGGACACAGCAGGGTAATGACGGCGGACGCCGGCGGAGATCGCCACAAGGGGACGGTGGGGGAGGAAGACCGAACTGGGAGACGGAACAAGAGAGGAGTGTGAACGAGTGAAGACCGCGCTAATGGTCGTGGTGAGCCGAGATCGAGTCGCGATACCAGTCGCCATAGCTAAGGCTAAGGTGTAAGGTTTACTTTTTTTTCTCCTTTTTTGGCTCATTCAAGAATGGGGGCACCCTAATTCCATCGATAAGAGAGTCATTAACATATATACCCGAATGCCGCGGAAGTTTACTCACGGGGTGTTACAACGTTACTTCACGAGTTTGTTTTCGGTCTCTAGCCTTCCCTTCTTCTCTTCCGGTTTTACTTCAAACTTATTCAAGAGAGAATAATGAAGCTAAAATGGAATAAAAGCCACCAAAACCAAATTGACACCCTAACCCTAACCATGGAATCAGAAACAAAAAGAAGAAATCATAATATAGCAACAGATACATAAAGCAGTGAAAGAGTACAAGCCTTAAGGGAGATGACAAAGGCCCCGGCGGAGTAGACAGGCCTAGGGAGCGAGAGACAGCAAGTCCGGAGTTAGTAAATAGCGGAGAGAGACGGTTGACTATCCTCTGCATCGTCATCTCTCTTCCCTTTTCCTTTTCTTCCTCACCTGCATGCGCCGGTGACAACCTCTGTACTCACAGACCTGTGCAAACAACAAGCCCGCCATGAGTATGGACAATCTTTAATACCCACGTGGGGCGGGCTGGCCCAAGGCCAATTTGTATTTGGGCAGATGTGGAAGTTACTTTTAACTCATCCAGGCCAATAGGCCCGCCCATATTCATTAAATACATTTACTTTATTATTTACCTAGACAATATAAATTTTAAAATTTTCTTTAATTAATGTATAATACAGAGTAGTTCATATCACCCACCCCTCTTAAACAAAAATAAATAGTCTTTTAATGAATCTATATGATGGGTTTATTAATTATGTAACAAAATTTCTATTATGTTTTCTATTTAAATGTGGCAAGTAGTAATTTTATTTTAAACATTTGAAAACGAATTCAATATTTTCTTTTTGATTTTTCTGTGTAAAAAAGATAATCTTGATGTTTTATCTGGGCCGGGCGGCCCGGTGGGCAGTTCGGCTCGCTATGGTAGGCGGGTATGGGTAAAGAGTTTAACCCATCAAATCCAGGCGGGCTAAACCCGCCCATGCAAATGGGCTAATAATTTGTATCAAGCCCGGCTCAGATTCAGCCCAGACCCTTATTTGCACAGGTCTACTCACAAACACGGAGATTGAGTCCATTCAATGTTCATAGATTATTACTCCGTATTTATTTAAATTAATGTTACAATCACAAACAAACAGTTCACAAAACTCACTAACTTTTTTGTTTAATAGTTTCTTAAAAACAAGGTACACTCGAATAATAAAAAGATATTTTAACTTAAAATCCACAAAAGGTAAGTTTGTGAAATTTGTGAATTATTTGTCCGAACATATGATATTGGAATCAATTAATCATCATCATAAATTATATTTAGATTTGGAATTATCTCTCTATGATGTTTTAAGGTGTATGCTGGAAAATATTATCCTTAACTTCGAAATCTCAGTCCATATTTCTCAATTAATATATTATCATCGTCAATTACTTTTCACAAATTACTACATCTTCACCCTAGTCAACTCCCAGCCATAACCACCTCTATCATTTACTCATATCATAAAATACCCCCAACATCATATCATTTCCCCCAACATCACATCATATCACACACACACACACACAATACTCGAATCAAAGTTCTCGCAAAATACATCATAGAGGCACGTGCTTCTTTGTCCTGAGATATGCAACAAGGCAACGACAACAACACGTATCCCTAACTCATCAAGCAGAGCACCCTGTCCATGTGCATCCTCTTTCTCATATTGCCCTGCACAAGAAGCAGATTACAAAACATGACTTTATTTTTAAACAAGTAAATCCACCTTGAGAGCAGAATTCTATCCTATAGTTTTGCAATACAGAGTCAACATTCCAAGAAAGGTGAACATTGATCCTTCAATAGCGTGTATTGATTAGCTTCTACTCTTCTTCAGAGCAGATCATTTTTTGAGTTGTGCACAAAAGGGAGGCATGTCCAAAATTTTNTGCACAAGAAGCAGATTACAAAACATGACTTTATTTTTAAACAAGTAAATCCACCTTGAGAGCAGAATTCTATCCTATAGTTTTGCAATACAGAGTCAACATTCCAAGAAAGGTGAACATTGATCCTTCAATAGCGTGTATTGATTAGCTTCTACTCTTCTTCAGAGCAGATCATTTTTTGAGTTGTGCACAAAAGGGAGGCATGTCCAAAATTTTAGTTCTAATCATGATTGTCCCACCACTCATAATGTAAAAGTAAACCATGTGAGAGTGTCTGAATAAAGAAGAAACAAGAGGATGCAAAACAGGAAAAACTTACAAAGCCTGATACTCCCCAGTGAAACAGCGTACCAAGCCCTCAACCCTGTACACCTGGGTAGAAACCTTTTCTGCAAAAACTCGCCTCCCCCTCACATTGAGAGTGAATCTGGTGCAGTGGACTTTGGGGCCACCACCTGCCCATAAAAGGCAGAAACGGTCTTCTCCCAAGTGAAGGAACAATGAAGGAATATTAAACATGTACGTATCAGGACTATGAAGGAGAGGAAGTGCATTATCATACTCTTCAAATCCCTTCACGAAGCAGCACCATTTGCCCGTCTCAATGTCGAAACATGCCACGTCGGTATGGTTATCTTCGAAAGGGCTATATATTGCATGCAAGAGGTACATTAACCCATTATGGCAAACACCACTCGTGGACAAATCAAAATCATTAAACTCATTGTAATGCACATCAAACTCATTTCTCTTGAAATCGTAGAAGATCGTGCCATCAGTTGTAACGATGATGGCACGCCGAGCACAGCGCATGGGTTGACTAGTAGTAGAATCAGTTACATCTTCATATTCAATTGTGTGTGCAAGCACACATGAGCTCGTAGGGGATTTATCATAATCATCCAATTCTAGCAAGCACGTCCATCCCTTCTCCAACTTATGGAGTCAAGATAGTGCAAAGTACATAAATTATCCCCATACATTCCCAGTGCATAAATCTTGCCATCCACAGCGAAGACATAGCACAGATTAGGTGCTTTCTCAAGAGTAGGGCCATCTTCCCATTTTTGCTCTTCGCTTTGAGTATTTAAATAGTGGACACGCCGGATCGGTACATCACAACAATTATCCTCCACACCACTTATGAGGAAAATATGAGATCCCACCCCAACAGGTTCATATGCTATCTCATCCTTTCCCCAGGGTGGCTAGTTAAAGGCCGGGGAGAGAGGGGCATTTGTGTCCACATTTACCCCTTGCGGTGGAATAGCAAACCATTTACATGCTTTGGCAAGTGGATCTGTTCCAGTACTATTCCAGACACACAGACGAAAGTAGATTGTGGGTTGTTCTCCAGTTTCAGCTTCTTCCATTTCACAATTCCGTTCTTCTGTTACTCCATTGTTCAACCCTAACATTAAGAACCACAATTCTTATTAAGGTGGTCTCATGACGGCATATATATTTTAAAGACACAAATTTTCAACGAATAGGTGTTTAAACAACTCAACGTAAAATATAATTTTAAAACAACGAAAGAATGTCCTAATTATTAGCATTGGAATATTATCTTAGAATCGTTAGTTATTATTGGCATATTACCAACAGTTTACATGGAACAAACAATCAGACTTTTTCAGAAAATTCTGAGCGTGTGAGGACATGGGGAGTTATGAAGCTCTCAACAAAAGCTTCAATCTTCAATCTTTTTGTTTTCCTGTTGTTGCTTGTTGTTCAATCTGTGAATCACCATAGGTAAACACGGAAAGAAAGAACACACAC